TTATTGTAATTATTATTATTATCTCTCTAAAAATCTGTTACATTTTCCCCATTTTTACACAACAAATACATATCATTCTCTCAATTTATTATTATTTTATTATTAATTTATTTTTATTTTAACTCTCTTCAAAATTTGACTGTTTAAGTTAGTTTTACCTCCCTAAATTCTGCTTTCCTTATTTTGTTCTCTGATATCCCTTGCATCCAATGTACTGTAATCTCTTACTTAACTTACTCTAGCTCCTATGATCAGATGGACAGCCATAGTGCTCATCCCATCTTTCTTCAATGATAACATACAGAGTATTCTGTTTGGACAATGGCCACATCTATTTTATCTCTATACAATTTGACTCTCACTTCTCTGTTTTGGCTTTTTTCTCATGTTTTAGAATTTACTAGTTGTACTTGACATCAAAATATCCCCTTATGTCTAGTGTTAATTTGTCTGTCACCCTTGATCCATCCTGTTTAAATAGATAACTGTTTCTTTAGCTGTTCAATCTCCAAGATTCTTAGTCCTTTTGGACATGGTAACCCTGTTACCCAATGTGGATTCCTGTCCATTTTAACAATTTATCTAGGGGCTCAGTATAGGCGGAACCGTATCTTCTGTTGATATATTCTCTAGTGTCCCTCTTGCGTGCGGCATTTTGGAGGGTCTCTTATCCTTCAGTCCTTTACTTAGCTTAATGCTCATAATGACTGGTCAGTCTTCTCTCTCCCCTACATGTACCTATACTCTCTTGTTTGTAGATCTATTACAGCAGAGGTGTGCTTCATATAGCCAGTTAACAGCATTATTCTTCCTTTTTTTATCTATAACACTTCGATGGACAGTAGACAGTGACAACATAACATATAACTGACAATCAATACAGTTCGATTAAGGGGAGTAAAATACAGTAGGTACACTTTGTCCTGAAAATGCCTTACCGAACAAGGAAGTCTGATAACTCAAATGTAAGCAAAGGTCTTACCCCAGCCAGCTGATTATCAGAAACTCCCAGATCAACTCAAGCTCCTTGGTTCTGATTCTCGGGGTACCCTGTAAATCCCCTCCTGGCTGGCTCACCAACTGTTCTGGAAATTAATACTGAAATGTTATAGATAAGCAGCTCCTATCCTTATACTGATTAGTGATTCCAAATTATTAATAACTACTGCAATATGGAACAGACACAAAAAGATACACTCAGCATCTTTCCAAATAACTGCTTTATTAATTCAGTTCCATTGTAGTTTTTTATACACATGATTACGTAGGTTTCACATTAATATTACAATTTTACTTTTATAGTAACAAGGGGCATTACATAGGCAGGCTAATTTCTAATCAGGACTCAAAAGAATGAAAATATGTGATGAAATTATTGTTAGTGCCGTGTGCACAATGAGTTCAGTATGCAATACATAGGCAAAACATACAAAATAGAATATAGTTTTATGCGGAATTTACAAATTTCTTTTACAGGGTTCAGAAAATGGATTAGATACATGTTGGTTTGTCAAACATACGTTGCAGTGCTAAAAATGAGACTGCCCAATTACAAATTGTATGCTGCACACCCAGTGTCCACATCCAAAATAAGGATCAACAATGTACAACCATAGATTGTTATTTAAATAGTATGTAGAGAGATTGGTGTATAGGAAGATGAATGTGTATGGAGAACACATCCACCAAAAATACTCAAGCAGAAAATTTACCATTTAGTAGGACCTCCCTGCATAAATAGGTCAACACACCTTTAAAACCACAAAGAGAAGATATGAGGTTCCAGCGTTGTTGAACCATCCAACGCTCCCACATGGCAAACATTGCAGATACTCAGACATTCAAATAAAATTAAAAAGAAAGATCTGATTGTGTAACATAGTTGGTACAATTTATTAAAATAAAGTATTAAAAAAAACGTATAAAACTTACAGTGAATGCAGTTGGCAAGTCCTAGCCAACAGCGTGATGTCAGTACACTAACTCTACCCAACAGGTTTCATTCTTTGAGACATCTTTAGGGGCCTAATGAAGAATTTGTATATTTTTTTGGTCAGCGGTTTGTATATTAGCACATATTGTATTTGATATTTAGTTTATATGTTAGTTTGCAGACAGGAAGAGCTGAATTTGGAGTTTCTGAATTTATACAATACATTTTTTTTCTAATTACAAAAGTTGGTCATTCACTTTCCAAAAACATGAGTTCCCCTATTCCCATATAGCCACATCTCATGTCTTACGGTTCCTTTGCAAAATGAAGTTGTTATGATGAATGGGTGTTATGATTACATTCATTGTACAGAAACAGAAGCTAAAGAAAGCATTGCATCCTGGGAGAAAATAAGAGCAGTGCATCTTTCCAGATCTGGCATTAGCTTTCTATAATATTTCCAACCCTTTATTTTTTTTTCCTCCGCATCACAAAAATTAGTGCTGTGAGGTTACCTCAAAAGAAAGGATATAATAAAAAAGAAAAGCTTTTATATATTATCAAGAAGGAAGTAACCACAGGGAGCAGAGATAAGACATTTCTTGACACGGACAGAAATAGCTTACTACCTACAGCCTTGATTCTCAGTGCTGAGTGCTATGGCAACTCTCTTTGCATTGTTACACAATTATATGCTTTCACATATTGCACAGAAACACAGAACCAGCTTTTGAAACCTAAACAGCTAAAAAGGTTTACAAATCAAAAGTTATAATTATGTACCACATGCCAGAATGATAATGCAATAAGGCACTCTATTACGGAACGCCATCTGATGCTAACAGCCAAAGGCAGCAATTAGCTAATCCTTCGAGTCGTTTGCTATGCAAATTAAATTATTGTAATTGTGCAAGGTTTTCCATTTATTACATTAGCATCAGGTTTTATCAGTCCATCTGTACTGTGAGTTTGTTTGGAGCTTTTCAGATAACAGGTACAGGTTTGGTATAACGATTAATTAAATTGAATAATCCAAAGAAAGATAAATAATTCCGCAATAAGCACTTTCTGAAACAAACTTAAAACATGATATAAAACCATAGGTTTTCATTTTTCTTACAGGTCTGAAAATCTATGAAGATGAATAGAACTATTATAGTTAGCCTCATTTTAAAGTGACGCTGCCATTTAAAGTGGCAATTTCAGGTAGAAGTATAATGCCTAAAAGTTTTTGTCATTTGAGTGTCATCCCTTAGTATGATACCATGTAACTACAGTCTAAAATCTAGTCCCTCTAGTCCTGTTCTGAGTGGATTGTGAGCTGGCTAAGGCTAGGTTCACACCTATGCAGTTTGCGTTTGATCCGTTTCTGCACTGCATTTTGCGTTGCGTTTTGCATGTTTGCACATACGTTTTTGCTGCGTTTTTGGTGTGTTTTGTGTTCTTTTTTTTTCTTGTTGCTAGGCAGATTTAAAATGCAAAACGCATCACAAATGCGGCAAAAAAGCTGCAAAAATGCACTACATGCTTTTCTGCAGCATTTCCATTGCAGTCTATAGAGACAAAAACATAACTTTTTGCGTTTAACCTCCTCGGCGGTCTGATTATTCCCGATTTTTGCGCTGAAGGCGGTACCATTTTTTTGCATGGAAATATGTAGTTTTTTGTTGTAGGCTGTAATTTTTAGGAATAACTCACTGAAATCTGTACGAACAAGAGTCTAGTAAACATCCCGGGTAGGATAAAATTTGAAACACGAAATCATAAATTATAATTTAATAAATAATCATAAAAAATAATAATATAATATTAATAAATTTAATTCAATAATATAGTCAAACCAAAAACACTGAAATTTGAAATACAGAGGCAAATTCGCACATCGCTGAGCAAAGTCGCAAAATCGTTTTCAGTGTCTGATGAGGAATTTCCCCACGAATCATTATCACTCAATTCTGCAAGTGGTTCTGATTTACTATCGCTGTTCTCTAGCTGGTCTAAAACCGCTTTTGACGTAAAGGGACGCTTTTTGGATGCCATGGACTTTTCTAAGTTTCCAGGCAGAAAGAACAGTCAAAATGCAGGCAGGGCACAGGACAAAGCAGTAGGGACAAAATGTATGTATAATGCATTGAAACAGCAATGTTTTACTATGTAATAATCATTTAAAAAAAATGACATTTTTTAAAAATTTCAAATTTGCCGCCAGTTCCGGCGCCCGTACGTCCCGACATCACAGGGACCGGAACACAGAAGCCGGAAGCCGGCATCGGCCGGAGGAGATGGCCAGGGACGCTGCAGGGGACACATCGTGGGAGCGAAGGACAAGGTAAGTGCTGCAGGGACCCCCAGAGCAGCGCCGCATGGTAAGCCCGAGTGTAGCTCGGGGTTACCGCTTTTGGTACTGAAACTTTACCCCAAGCTACACTCGGGAATACCGCTAAGGAGGTTAAAAAAGTCACTGACCCTTTTAAAAAAACACACTGGGTGAAAATGCTGAGATGTGAACGTGTCCCATAGGAAATCATGTTAAATGAACTGTAGTGTGTTTCTGCAAAATGTTTAGGTGTGAACCTATGGTAAGTCCGTAGTCCAGTGTCTCATGGGAGCTGTAATGCTCACTGTACAAGTCAGTAGCCATTGTTAAGTATCACAATTTCCACCTGCAGAATCTATGACATTATAGATACATGGAACCTCTAACAGTAACAACAGAGTTGCTTTAAATAGATTGTTAGCTTTCAAAGAGTAAAAAATTTAATACCCCTTAAAAATCCACTTTTGCTAAAAAAGCAATATACAATATTGGCTATAAAAGCCATTTTTAATGTACAGCAGGGTTCATTTCATAAAGTCAACCAACATTGGGGTACTATTCCTCCCTCTGATAACAATGATGGGGCACTATTCCTACCACTGACAAACAAAGGTGGGGCACTATTCCTCCCACTGACACCAATGATGGGGCACTATTCCTCCCACACTGATACCAATGATGGGGCACTATTCCTCCCACTGACACCAACAATGGTGCCCCATCATTAGTGTCAGTGTGGGAGGAATAGTGCTTCATCATTGGTGTCAGTATGGGAGGAATAGTGCCCCATCATTGGTGTCAGTGAGAGGAATAGTGCCTCATCATTGGTGTCAACGTGGGAGGAATAGTGCCCCATCATTGGTGTCAGTGGGAGGAATAGTGCTTCATCATTGGTGTCAATGTGGAAGGAATAGTGCCCCATCATTAGTGTTAGTGGGAGGAATAGTGCCCCATCATTGGTGTCAGTGGGAGGAATAGTGCCCCATCACTGGTGTCAGCGGGAGGAAAAGTACCCCCTCATTAGTGTCAGTGTGGGAGGAATAGTGCCCCATCATTGGTGTCAGTGGGATGAATAGTGCCCCATCATTGGTGTCAGTGGGAAAAATAGTGCACCATCATTGGTGTCAGTGGGAGGAAAAGTGCCCCATTATTGGTGTCAGGGGGAGGACTAGTGCCCCATCATTGGTGTCAGTGGAAGGAATAGTGCCCCATCATTGGTGTCAGTGGGAGGAAAAGTGCCCCCTCATTGGTGCCAGTGACACTAATGATGGGGCACTATTTCTCCCACTGATGCCAATGATGCTTACATTGCTGTGCTGACCCCTGCTCCAGCCTGGGCACCCTCCCTCTTCCATCCACAGCCAGCATACCTGGTGACAGCAGCCCATCGGCTCTGCTCAGATCTCGGACACACAGACACTTACCTTACCTATCACCTGTCTTCCTTCTCCGGCCGCTCTCCTCCTCTTCACCGTCTCTGGCTGGTCCCTCACTATATCTTCTTTGATCTTCACGCTGCCGCTTGGCTCCTCCTCTGCAAGCTCTGCCTCCTCACTGGTTATTAGCCGCCTGTATGCATTTCCTGAGCTACAGATCTGGCGGCCAATCACCGGCGAGGCGGCGGACCATGCAGAGGAAGGGACAGGCTGCCTTAGGTTGCCCAGTGATCCCGGGGGTGTGGCCAGATGAGAGGGGTGGCATGTCATCCCACCCACATTGCGATCAAAATCCAGGGAGATTAAGACACTGGATGGACACCCTCTCTACCCTTCCTCCAGCAGCGCCTCGTGGACCGGATCGAAGTGAGACACAGAGTCATGGACACAGGTAAGACACAAAAGCCACTGTCCCTTTCCCATGGAAGTCTCTCCCCCTTGAAAAGTGCCACCCTAGGCAAACGCCTTGTTTGCCTCATGGCAAATACGCCCCTGTAAGTACGGCTAAGGACATTTTTTTAATAGAGTAAGATATGTTCTTTTTTAAAAATCACATATTTTTGCAGGTAAAAAAGTGTATTTATTATTTTTTTTCAGAGGAGTCTTGCACCCGTGATCAGTAGATTGCGGGTGCAATGTCAGACTCCTGCAGACACTGTCTCCAGGTTTCTTACCTATACCTCTATATGGGCAGACAGTTACAAAGTTGGAGGAAGTGTCAATGAAAAATGAGGGTGCTCATCAGTGCCCCGACAGTTCATGGAGAACTACAAGCAGCCTGCTGTGGCTTAAGAAGGGACTTGTAGTTTTCTCAGTCACAGCCCTGAAAAGCCATGCTATTTCTAAGATCTGACAGCGAGGAGAGGATATCCTGTCTGCTGTCACAGGGGTACGGGATTTGGGGGTTTGAATGGCAGACCTGAAACATATTATGTACTAGGTGTATCACGTATCATGCTCCCAAAGGTGAACATATTCTTTTAAACCCCTGTCAAGTTTTTTTTTGCTGTCTGTATTTCATTGGGAAGACTTTCGTGTTGTCACATGACAGAACAAGAAGTGAGTCTACTGAGACCCAAGTCACCTGACTGGTAGAGCATCTTGCACTGTTCTTTGCCAGCACTGTTTAGCCAACAGATATCTACCTTTAAGATGTCTACATTGTTCTAGCCCAATATCACTCTGCTAAAGACCCAGGAGCCAGATAGAAAGTAGTGTGGGAGCTCTGCAGTGCTTACCAGGAAAGTTGATGCTAAAATCCAGTAGGACCCACTGCTGTCAGAAAACACAAGACAAAGGTTTTCCAGCATGTCCCTTTGACAGAATTCGATCAATAACCAGTGTCCCCTATTGAAATATATCACCTGTAGTCCTGTACCATTAAGAATGTGGACTCATTGCTGATATGGCTTAAGAGTCAAACAGGCTTAACACTTGCCCTCCTGAGGATTTACCCCCTTTAATGACCAGGCCTCTTTTTGCTACTCGCCACTGCACTAATTCAACTGATAGTTGCGCGTTCATGCAATGCTGCACCCAAATGAAATGTATGTCCCTTTTTTTCACACAAATAGAGCTTTCTTTCGGTGGTATTTGATCACCTGTGCGCTTTTTATTTTTCACGCTATAAACAAAAAAAGACCAAAAATTTTGAAGAAAAACAATATTTTTTTACTTTCAGCTATAAAAAATATATAGTAAACTCAAAGTTGGTTATAAATTTAGGCCAAAATGTATTCTGCTACATGTTTTTGGTAAAAAAAAATCCCAATAAGTGTATATTGATTGCTTTGTGTGAAAGTTATAGCGTCTACAAACTATGGTATGGATACTGCAATTTACACCATTTTTTTGCTATACAGCGCTGCGCTAGTTTAACGGACAATTGCGCGGTCATGTAATACGGTACATGAATGAAATTTACATCCTTTTTTTCCCACAAATTGAGCTTTCTTTCGGTGGTATTTGATCGCCTGTGTGTTTTTTTTATTTTTTGCGCTATAGAAAAAAAGGCTGACAATTTTGAGGAAAAAAAACAATATTTTGCTATAAAACATGTCCAGTAAAAAAAAAATGTAAAAATCAAGTTTAGACATAAATTTCTGCCAAAATGTATTCTGCAACAGGTCTTTGCTAAAAAAAACCCCAATACGTGTAAATTAATTTTTTTTGATTGAAAAGATACTTTTATTACAGAAGCATCAAAAACAACATGTTACTTGTAATCGGGGTACATCTCACCCTGTACTGCGACGCAGCGCACCACATTGCAATACAGTTCCAAGCATACAATAAATACATTCAGAAATAAATACATTCGCTCAGCGGTATGATGCCTGACGTGATGTGCGTGGAGGACGAATCTCCAGACCACCACGTCATGCATAACGCCGCTTACCCCAAAAACTGTAGCATCCTAATACACATTACGTTTCCTAATAATACTAATGCATGCAAAAACGAAAACCAGATATTACGATCAACAATAGGCACCGGGTGTGTGGGGGGGGGGGGGGAAAGGGGGGAAAGAACAGGCCCGAAGCTTTATTGAAAAGACAAAGACACGCAAGGGGGAGTAGGGGGAAGGGGGAAATCTTCAGACGTCCTCTTTCTCCTTAAAGTCCATCAAGGAATAGTCTCTGAGCAGACTGAGGATCAGTCTGCGGCAGTCCTCAATGGACATCCTCTCCCGCTGGTGGATGAGGCGCTTTCTGGCGCACCATAAAGCGTCCTTAAAAACAGCACAGCACCCGCCAGGCGCCGTCAATGTCCTCCAGAGAAAAAGTCCCACAGAATAGTCCATTCAACACCCCAAAGTGAGTGATGGCTGTCTGTGGTACAAAGTCCTTGAGTTCAGGTTCCAGGGCCCCCAACAGGGCCTGAGCAAATGAGCACTCCCAGAAAACGTGGTGAGACGTTTCCTCGTGGATGATGCAGAAGGGGCAGTGTCTGTATCTGCTCAGGTTTCCTGGCATGCATAAATGTCCTGAGAGGCAACCCCCCTTGGATTGCCATCCATGCCAGGTCTTTGTGCCTGTTGGTGAGAATGTTGGAAGAAACATTCCTCCAGACCACCTTGCAGGTGTCTGAAGGCAGGCCTGGAACCGACTCCAAAATGTCGCTGGCTCGGATGAGCTTGTAGATAGTCTTTGGCTTCCACAAGTCAGGCTTGACTCCCTGCAGCCCTTGCTCCCTGATGAACTTGAAGGTATCCAAGTAGTACCAAGGAGTGTCCCAGTTGTAGGGGATGGAACTATCCCAAGTGTCCCACCCCAGGGACCTCCAGAGAGGCAACAGGAAGAAGCGAGACATTGCGTTCCCGCCAGAGTCCATAATCCGTTTGGGCAAAGTTCTGCGGATGCAGTTGCAAGCAAAGAACACCCTCAGCTGGGTGGCGATGTCGGGCACGCCCTTACCGCCCTTGAGGGGTTCCTTGAACATGACTGCCCGCTTCACTCTGTCCATCTTGGAGCCCCAGATGAAGTGAAACACCGTCCTGGTGATGGCCTTACAGGTGTTGACCCGTGGGGGCCAGGCCTGGGCGAGGTACTGCAACACAGGGAGAATCTCGCTGCGGAGTACCAGTGTCTTCCCTTCGATGGAGAGGTCTCTGAGGCTCCAAAGTCCAAACTTTTGACGCATCTTGGCCAGTCTCTCCTCCTATGACTTCAGGGCTGTGCCCTCGGCACCAAACCAAACTCCCAAAATTTTCATGAAGTCTGTCTTGATGCCAAAGGGCATGGATGCAGAAGAAGGCAGGAACCACTTTCCGAAGAGCATGACTTCCGACTTCCCGCAGTTGACCTTTGCCCCCGAAGCTTGGCCGAAGTCCTCGCAGGTCTGGACGAGCAGGTCGATGGAGCGCTGGTTGGCACAGAACACCGTCACGTCGTCCATGTAGAGCGAGCACTTCACTTCCCGTCTGTCTGGTCCCGATGCGGTGATTCCCCCGATCTCTGGATTCCGTCTGATGCATTCGGCGAAGAGCTCTATACAGCAAACAAAAAGCAGAGGTGAGAGAGGACAGCCTTGTCTGACCCCGGAGAGGACCGGGAAGGGGTCAGTCTTCCAGCCGTTCACCTGCACGGAACTACAAATTTCATTATACATGATATCCACGTACGAACAGAACATTTTCCCAAGACCAAACCTGCGCAGGGCTCTGCACATAAACCCATGGGAGACACGGTCAAAGGCCTTCTCCTGGTCAAGACTGACCAGGGCCGCGTGCACACGGCGGTCCTTGATGTACTGGACCGTGTCCAGGACAAGCGCTAGGCTGTCCGCAATCCTGCGGCCAGGAATGCCACAAGTCTGATCCGGGTGGATTATCTGTCCGATGACAGCCTTCAACCTGTTCGCCATGACTTTGGCGAGGATCTTGTAGTCCACGTTCAGGAGAGAGATGGGACGCCAATTTTTCAAGTCACATCTCTCCCCCTTACGCTTGTACAGGATCGTGATCATCCCCTCCCTCAACGAAGGAGGCATCTTGCCCTCCACCACCATCTCCTCGTACAGCTCGAGCAGGTCCGGGCCCACGAGGTCCCACAGCGCTACATAGAGCTCTGCTGGGAGACCGTCGCAGCCCGGGGTCCTGCCCCGCCTAAAGGATTTAGCGGCAGAGTGCAGTTCCTCCAACGTCAAGGGGGCGTTGGTGGCCGACAAACCTGCAGGATCAATAGCGTGTAAATACGTGTAAATTAATTGGTTTACGTGAAAGTTATAGTGTTTACAAATGGCGGGAAAGATACTGGGATTTTTAGTT